CCAGAATCGTGATCGTCATCACGATTACTGTTACAAAGTTAGTGTGCTGTTGAATCGCATTGGTAGTGTAGTGCGCTGTTCAAGGGTAGCACGCAGTCTCCATCCTATCACGCGCGCCCCACAACTGACATCTTACCCATCCTCCGCGTGAACACATCAACCCCAGAGGCAAACATCATATATGAGGTTTGTCAAGTGTCAGGCAACCTTCAGATCCGACGTCGGTATGACGTTCGACAAATTTCATATGATTGTGTTTCAAACTTCGCATCAAAATTGGGAGCGGTTATGTCAGAGATGGGGAGCGATATCATCTCAACAAATGATGAACGAGCATAATCAGAGCTGGGCAACGTTGCGCACGCCAGGCCCCCATTTTCTCACGGTGCGCCGGCAGACGGTTCAAGACAAGCCCGCTCCCCAGATTCCTGGGGAGCGAGGCGTCTGGGCAAAGCCCTGCGGGAGAGCTGTGCAGGCCGGGCCGACGGCGGCGCCGCCAGGAGCAGCGCGGCGGCGAGGCGCGGCTGAAGTGGGGCCTGCAGCTGGCCCGCCGTGTCCGGCGCAACCGGCGCGAGCCCTGGGCGGAAGCTCGGGAACTCTCCTCCGCCATCCGTTCGCGAAGGGCCTCGCCCGCCAGGGAGCGCTCGTCGCGAAGGGCCTCGCCCGCCAGGGAGCGCTCGTCGCGGCCTCCCCCGCCGCCCGCCCGTCGGCGCGCCTCAGCGGAGCAGCGCGGAACATCGCTCGCGCAACAACAGCCCGCGGTCCAGGGTCTGCGCCGCCGTGCGCTGCCGGCCCCTCGCGTCCCGCCGGAGCGGGGCGGCGAAAGGCAAGCGTTGCCGCAACGCCTGCAATTTCCAAGCGCGTCCCTCCTCTGCGCTCCCAGCCTGTTCAGAGCTCCTCGGTGGCTTGTCCGCCCGCTGCCCGCGCGTGCCCTCCTCCTCCTCCTCCTCCTCCTCCTCCTCCTGCTCCTCCTCTTCCTCCTCTTCCTCCTCCTCCTCCTCCCTCTCCTCCTATTCCTTTTCCTCCTCCTCCTCCTCCTCCTCCTCCTCCTCCTCCTCCTCCTCCTCCTCCTCCTCCTCCCCCTCCTCCTCCTCCCCTCCCCCCCCCTCCCCTCCCCCTCCCCCCTCCTCCTCCTCCTCCTCCTCCTCCTCCTCCTCCTCCTCCTCCTCCTCCTCCTCCTCCTCCTCCGCCTCCTCCTCCTCCTCCTCCTCCGCCTCCGCCTCCGCCTCCGCCTCCGCCTCCGCCTCCTCCTCCTCCTCCTCCGCCTCCTCCGCTCCTCCTCCTCCCCTCCTCCTCCTCCTCCTCCTCCTCTCCTCCTCGCTCCTCGCTCGCTCCTCCTCGCTCCTCCTCCTCGCTCCTCCTCGCTCCTCCTCGCTCTCTCGCTCCTCGCTCCTCCTCGCTCCTCGCGCTCCTCCTCGCTCCTCCCGCTCCTCCTCGCTCATCCTCGCTCCTCGCTCCTCCTCGCTCCTCTCGCTCCTCGCTCCTCCTCCTCTCCTCCTCCTCCTCCTCCTCCGCCGCTTCCTCTTCTTCCTCTTTCTGCTCTTCTCCTCTTCTTCCTCCTCCTCCTCCTCCTCCTCCTCCTCCTCCTCCTCGCTCCTCCTCCTCAACCTCATCATTCTCCTCCTCCTCCTCCTCCTCCTCCTCCTCCTCCTCCTCCTCCTTTTCCTCGCTCATCCTCCGTCGCATCCTCCTCCCCTCCCTGGTCCTCCCTGCTTCTCTCTCCTCCTCCCCGTCTTCCGCGTGCAGTGCCGACGAGAGCAGGCGGACGAGCGGGGGGCGGCAGCATGGACGGAGAGATCTGCACTTTGGTGGGATTTGCAAAAACACTAAAAGTGGCCAACGTCTTGCGACAAGAAGCCCTCGAGACGGCGCGACGCCCCTTCGCTTCTCCACCAAGGCAGCCCGAGATGTCACGCAAGGAGCCTGAGCGGCGCATCTATTACACCTGCCAAGACGCTCTGAAACACCGAACCGACCACCGAATAGCAGTATTCCCCGCGAGCGCCAGGGATTGCGCCAGACACACTGTGCCTTTCCCCGCGATTTGCCCACTTTGTCCATGGGTCCGCCAGAATTCAGGCTGAGCCACCCAGCCCGCCCCCTTCCGAATCGCAATTTCCCCACTGTGCCTACGCTGCCTCAAAGGTTGCGCAGCAAGTCGTGCCAGACGCCTCGCGCCCTACTGAATCGCGATTCCCCCGCCGTGTCTACCTTCTGATACAGTTCACGGTCCCGTAGACGGGGGCTTTATAAGCCAGGACATGGCACGGGCGCGGCCCAGAAGACTGCAGCCGTGTGTCAAGACATTCACTCATAATCCCGCCAGTCCTTTGGGCTAAGCTGGTCTAGAGATGTCTTTCTTCCCAAACAAACAAGATCCCTTCGGGGAGGAGTGCCCTCCCCCTCCCCTCTCCGAGGTTTTGTTGGTTGGGGAGTTCGCGAGGCGCCAGGGCGCCCGAGATGGCCCAAGATGGCTCCAAGAGGGCGTCTGATGCTCCAAGATGGCCTCCAAGGCGGCGGCTCAAGATAGCCGAAAATGGTTCAAGATAGCTTCCGACGTACTTCCAAGCGGCCCGACGAGGGCCACACGGCGGCTCCAGGTGCTCTCGGAGCCCCCTCACTGGCCATCCGTCGGACGTCCATTCCCTGTGTGTTTTTCTGTTTTGTGCGTGGCTTTTATGATCAAGGATGCTCCTCGATGGTCCTCCCCGAAGGAACAATGCACACGCCCGAGCGATGCCAGGCATCAGGACACCCCCGGGAGGCCCAGACCTTTCGAGCACCGAGGGGCCGTCAATGAGGTGTGTCTGCTTGCGCGTCGCTTCCGCTGCGCGTTTGGGGTCTTCAAGGTGGCCCCAAGATGGCCCAAGGGAGGCCCAAGAGGGGCCGAAGGGGCCCCCCCCAGGCGGCCCCAAGAGTGCCCAAGAGCGACCCTCGAGCGCCCCAGGAGGGCCCCAAGAGGTGAGCTTGATGGCCCCAAGGCGGGGGATGGTAATCGGGACCCCCCTCCTTTTGATCGACGCCCCACACGATAGCCCCAAGAGGCCCTACAGGGCTCCGAAGAGGGCTCCCAAGAGGGCTCCAAGATGGCCCCAAGACGGTCCCAAGAGCGCCCAAGAGCGCCGCCTCAAGAGCGTCCCACGAGGTTCTCGACAGGCGGTTTGTCTCCTCCTTCTCCTCCTCCTCCTCCTCCTTCCTCCTTCCTCCTCCTCCTCGAGGGCGACGGCGGCGACGACTGTGAAGACGGCCTAGATCCGTGGATTCGGGGCTACGACCGCAGCAGGCCCGCCTGGGCGCATCGCAAAACTCACGAGACTTCGAAGCTACAAACCTCAAAGATGTCGCCCTCTGCAGCTCGCAAGCCCTTACACTCGGAGAGGACGAGGACGAGGACGATGGCGACGATGACAACGACGACGACGACGACGACGCCGACGACGACGTCGACGGTCGCCTCTGAAGGTCTACAGACGTATCTGGAGGCCTCTGGAAGCGTCTGCCCTCGGGCACGACGACAACGACGATAACGACGACGACGACGACGTGGACGAGGACGGCGACCACGCGGACGATGACGGCGACGACGACGACGACCACGACGACGACGACGAAGGCAACGACGACGACGACGATGACGAGGTTGAGGACGACGAATGACGACGACGACGACGACGACGACGACGACGACGACGACGACGACGACGGCCGCCTCTGGAGGCGTCTGGAGATTCTCGGGTGCCTGTCAGCACCACACCACGCCCATGAGCACGGCGCCATAGGTGTGGGGAAGCCGGGACCCCCCCCCGTACGTTCGTCACAATTACAGGAGTTGGGGGGTAGCGACCCCCCCGTAACAGACGATCTGGCTTCAACGACTAGAGAACAATATGTTGCAATTCCGCCCCCGCTGAGTCTGTCTTCCGCAGGTTCCGTTGCACCTCATGGTAGCCTCCCATAGCATCTTGTCGGCTCTTGCAAATCGACGCTAATCGACGCTAGTCGACGCTTAATCGACGATAACCGACGCTAAACCAGCGCTATCTCATCCACTCCCAGACGCAAACGGGACCTAACGACGGAATTAAGAGGGGTATACCAGGCTCCCATGGTTTGCTACCGAACGCAGGTTTGCGCCACAGGCTGGGCAGTACGCCCCCCTCTCCACAAAGTTGCGAAATCACGCATTGGATGGCCTAGGTCACCTGCCCTCGCGCATAGCTCACCGGGATGTGCACCGGGATGCGCGACACGCGGGCATCTTCGCGCCATCGCGCTGCCCTCTCCGAGGAGACCCAACGCGACGCGCGAACCGCGATGAACTTCGCGCCCCATCGGGGTTCCATACGCTTGCACCATACGTTGCACCAGGGTCCCCGCGACCCACCGGACTGTGTCTTCACTGATTGTTTACTCTACATGGCTTGCGCCGCAGATTGTGCCCGACTCCCCACGCCCAATTGAATTACCATTTCCTCACCGTCTACCCTCAATAACAAGGGGCGTCATAGCCCGCGCCCTGCTAAATCATCAGTCCCCCCCGCGAAGTGGCCTAAATAAGGAGCTGGCTGTCTAGAGAAAACGCTGGGGCCCATCAGAACTAAGCGTGGTCCGACTGCACGAAGCGAAGGGGGACCGTGCGATCATCCCTTCAGCGCTTGCTGCCTCTCCTCGCTGGGACGGGGGCGACGCAATGAAGGGGAGGATAGAACTTGCACAGAAGGACCGAAAGTGGTCTGGAATGCGCGCGCAGACGCGATATGGGGAGGATGAAAATTGTGGGAAAACTTAATTCGTCTATCATGTCGCTCGCCTCCTCCTCCTCCGCCTCCTCCATCCCCTTACAAATAACTCGTCCCTGTCGCGCCCCGAGATGTGCAAGTGGGGCGGGCCAGGCGTTTTGCCTGAGTCTTCCTCACCATTTATTCTGACGCAAAGAATGGGCACAATGTTCAACAGCGGTTCCTGTTCATTTTGAACAGGACTCGCTGTCCGCGCCGCCG